TTATTAAGATAGTTTGAATTTTCAGTTCTAATACAATTCACAATTCTCAAAGTATTTTTCTTTGGCTTTTTTTTTTGCATTTTCATACTCTCATTTGCAGCAAACAGTGCTAGCTTACTGATTTAAGTCCTACAGCCCTTATTTTATTGAGGTATATGTATTTTCAGTACATTATCTTACGCCATGGTACAATAAAAATGCATCAAAATACTGAATATTTTAATGGTCTTAATTCGGTCTTTAATATGGTCTTAAAAGTGTTCTAGTAAAATAGCAAAAAAAAAAAAAAAAAAAAAAAAAAAAAAAAAAGGCTATTTCCTGCTTGCAGTCAGTTTGAGTTGTATCAGAAACAAGCTGGTAAGTAACCTCTAGTACGTATACATGATTTCTTTTTTTAGGTGCAAGTCACACAGGCCCCTGGTGGTGGGGGAAGAGGATAAATAGCAACTAGCAACTGTTATCTCTTTTGTGTCCACCAGTCTGTTATACTGTCTGGGATCACGTATACTGCTTTAAGGTACCATTCCTACACAAAGTAATTTGAGAGTATGGGCATACAGTAGTGATGAAACAAACTGCCTCAGATCAGTTAGTAAATCTCATTTAGCACATACAGCTGCTGGRACCTCTTCATTGTGCATTTTTTGTAGAAGGGATTGTTTTTTCCATGCCTCTACAAAGTGTGTTAAAGAGTTAAAATGGAAAAGCTGTTGTGATTCACCATCAGGATGGGTTATACTGGATTATACAACATAGTCTTCCAGGATGGGGACAAAGGGTCCTGCTGAGGACTTAGGCTTGCCAGGATAGTCTGATCAGACAGACTGACAGGTGGGAGTCTGGAGAACCAGGAAGTCACCTCGGACCACAGGGGAAACACCAGGTGCACCAAAGACAAGGGCACTGCATGGTGATCCCCATTCAAAGCAAAGGTCAGGAGTGCGTATCAAGATGAATAAGATCAACTCATAGCTGAGGGGTGGATGGTTAACTATTAGGATCATACTGCATGGGTCAAATGATGATCTCAGAGGATGACAGACCACAGCACATATGGGCTTGAACCCAGTTTGGTGGGGTTGCGTTTGAGTTGTTTGAATCCTAATTACTTAGTAGTTTGACCAAGTAATGCAAGATGAGATATCAGCACCACAAGTAGGAGCCCACCCAATGTTTCCATGGAATTTATCATCAGATATTCTTTAATACTGGAGCACCCAGATCACTCTACCCAGACAACCTCTGCTGCTTCCAGTAGGAGCTTGTATTTTCAGGCTAGAACTATAAAACACATCCAAAATGCAGAAGTACTTGCTGACACGAGAGACAAATCTCTTAGCCTGCAAATCCTCTGTTTTCTTCAGAACTGCAGGGACTGAGAAAAGAGTCTGTTTCTCTGCTTCTTCCTCAAACTCAGTTCGTTCAGCCTGCTTTTTGCTCTTTGGCTAAATGAGGCACATAGCTCTGCTGTCATCCACAACTTCCCCAAGAGTCTGCATCGTGCTATTCATAGCGTCCGTGCTGGCACCACATTTAGAAAAGTACCATTGAATTTCACTCTGCTGCTATTGGTTCAAACAGTGAATAAGGGCAAAAATTGCTTATCTGCAAGTCTAGAAGCCAAAGTTACACTTAATTTAAGCAAAGATAGTGGCAAAAATTAGCAAATATTTATAAGGAAGTTAAGTTTTGCAAAACCCATTATTCGCCTTGACCTGAGGTCTGTTTGCCTGAAGCATATATCTTTTTAAATCTCTGCTGAATGTCCAATTTTTCTACTTTCTAGCAGTTTCTCTAGGAAACTAGCCGTAGTTGCTGGAAGGAGGCTTAAAAATGAGCAGAAGTGTGAAYATCACTCTAAGATATTTAATACAAAGCTAAAATGTTTATTGCACATTTTTATTGTCAATAATTTCTTGGGATGAGAATCTTTTATCCATGTTTCCTGTTGAATCGTTGAAGGAGTTCACGGTGTATGTGCGTACTTTGTGGTATGGGCATGATCGTCCAAAAGTAATGAACATCCTAGTTCATATTTAAKTGAGTTAAAAATATATCACTTATTAGTTCTGATAATGCAAAATTTGGAATGTGGAGTCATTCAGAGATTCCATTTKTTAATTTCTGACTAGGACTGCCTACTAGAGATTTGTCTTCTCTGCCGGATTCAAAATTGTCTTCTGGGTTGAATGAAGTCTTGAAACCCCCAAGAAGGATAAGAACACCAGTAGTCACATGTGTAGCCTGCTGTCTGTATTTAAGGAGCCAAATAAACAATCTATCTCCTGCTCCTCTYGTAGAACAAAGCTACCCTTACATGAGCAGTGCTAACCAGCTTATATACTTAATGAAATATCAAGGTCTTTAATGCTGAAATGACTCTTGAGGAAGCAAGCAAGGGAGACTGAATTTTAGAGGATAGCATTCATGCTATGGCTGGGTTTCATGACTACAGCAGTAGCAAGAAGCCCTTAATCTTCATCAGAAATTCAATGGAAGACTTTGCTTCCCTTTGCTTTCCTGCTTCGCCTGCCTCCTTCATCAGCTGTGTGAGGCAGGTGTGAGTGAGAGGGGGGCAGGACAGAGATAACCGCCACGGCTAATCCTCCCCTGCCACAAAGTCCATTAGGAAGCAGTGATGTAAATTGGAGTAGAAACCCTGCTGTCTCTCCTCCTGCAAGGTCACAGAGCCAGCTCCACGATCTCTGTGCAGGCACAACTGGTTCGTAATGCAGAAGCACAACCTAAATGTAAAACGAATCTGTTGCCGTATCATAGACTGATGTCATATGTCAGTAAAATCTCGGCCAGTCCCGTTTCAGATTTCAGGAGCATTAGCAAAGCTGAGACACAGGTATCTGGGCATGGCTTCAGAGCGCTTCTGCTTCCCAAAGTTACATAAGGAGGTATTTTTGTTTACCTAATTTTAGATAAACAAAAGATTTAGATTTAAAAGATTCAAGTCTGCTTAACTACTCAAAATTGAACAACTAAAGTTGTCAGTATTCTTCTTCCTGACATCTTTCTTTACTTGTTCCTAAACCACACATCAACACCCAGAAAGTTCACTTAAGTTAAGCTCAATTAATTTCAAGTATTTTAATACTCACTGGACTGGCAGGCTTAGAAGATTGTAATCAGCAGCACAGGGTCCAGTTGGATATTGGTCACTAGTGGTGACAGCTCCTGCAGGGRCTCAGCCCTGGGACCAGTACCATTAACCTCTTCATCAGCGACTGCACCTAGGGAGGAATAACCCCATACGCCAGTTCAGGCTGGGTGCCAACCTTCTGGAAAGCAGCTCCACGGAGAAGGACCATGGGCCAGCAAGATGGACATGGGCCTGCAGTGTTCCTTTGTGGCAAAAGCGACCAACAGTATCCAGGAATAACATTGCCAGTATCTTGGCAATTATGATCTTCTCCTACTCAACTCTGGGGAGAGTCTGGAGTGCCATGTCCAGTGCTGGGCTCCCCATCTCGTCCAAGATATGGACATAGTGGAGTGAGTMCAGCAAAGACAATAAAAGATAATTAAGGGATGAGCATCTCATATGAGGAGAGGTTACAAGGGCTGGAATTATTTAGTTGTTTAGTTTAGTTGTTTAGTTTAGAATAGAAAGCTTAGGGGAGAGATCTTTATCAAAGCGTATCAACACCTGTTTGGTGGATGGACACTGACTCTTCTCAGTAGTGCCCACTGACAGGACAAGAGGAACAAACCAAAACAAAGGAAAGTCCATTTGAACCCAAGAAAACAGTAACAAGTTGCCCTGAGACCTCTCTGGAAAAACTTCTATCTTCAGTGGAGTCTCCATCCTTGGAGATATTCAGCACARCAGTACATAGTCCTGGGCAACCTGTTCTGAGTGACCCTGCTTGAGCCAGGGAAGCTGGAGCAGGTGATCTCCAGAGATCCCTTCCAACCTCAACCTTTCTGTGATTCTATGAGATTTTTACTGTATTTTAATAGCCTCACATTTTATGCAAAAAAATCTGATCTTTCCACCACTATTCACTGGGGGTCAACCTGAGAATCTTAGTATTACATCCTTACAGAGATAAAGAAAAGTCATGTATTTTAACATAAATGTGGAATTTATAACTCCATTAATTCTGTGTTGTCAGAGCACTTCATATGAAAGTTTTGTACTTTACTSTGTTTCAAAGTTCTCTTTAGTTTAAAATTGCTTTTTGATTGCTATCAGAATTGGGTTTTATTTTTTTCCTCAAATTGAAAGTATGTTTATAATATCAAAGCAAATGTCRTTATGGGAAAAGAAGCAATCACATCCGATGTTTTTCCTCATAGTAATACTTGATTCCACTTGTTAAGTGTCTGCTAAACCACTTCAGAAGAGCAAATACCATTCTTACACATGCACATACACACACACATACTTGAATGCCCACGTATTTTGCCCTGAATTCGAGCTCTATGGAGCGGTGCTGTGGAACACACCCAGGTAAGGTATGATCCATCCAGCTTTCCCTCTCTGTTGCTGCTGCTTTGCAAACCACACCTGCAGAGCTGTTTTGAAGCAAACGAACTGTCGGTAAATATTTCTTCATAACAGGCCTCTGAGTCACTGTGCAAGCTGAAATCTCATCTTATTGCAGTATACAAGCATGTGAGGGTTTTCATGAAACAGGAAAGAGAGGTATACTGTGTATTTCACTGTTTTTTTTTTTTTTTTCACATCAAAGCCTTTGTGGTAAAAATAAACATATTTATTTTTCTGAAATATTATTTCACTCAGGAGAGGGTAATCTTGTTCAGACTGGTCGTTCTTGGCCAAGACATGCTGAAACACTTTGAAAAATGGAAGGTAACACAGGCTATGTTTAAATTCGCCTGTAACATGTTTTGCGAAGGCTTCTTATTCAGGGAATTCAGCCAGTGGTTCTGCGAGGTCAGAAATGTGGGGCTGGTAGACAAGATCTGTAGTGGATTTTAATATGCTATTTAGTGCTTACCTGCCACTTTCTTTTTCTTTCCAGGGTATATCCCCAGTTACTTAGACAAGGATGAGCTATGTGTAGTATGTGGGGACAAAGCCACCGGATATCATTATCGCTGCATCACTTGTGAAGGTTGCAAGGTAAATGGCCCGGTGGGGAGGTGGGAATCAGAAATAGCTCTCCAGCACCTTCTCCATTTATACAGACTTCCTGAACTGCGCTGCCAAATAAAACAAGGATAGATTAGAGGCGAATAAGAACATCCAGTACTGATGATAAGCCCTATTTGGTTGTGCTGCTGATCTTCATATGCATAAGGAATATAGTTGGTTTTTGCAGTGTTTGCTTTGGAAAGGAAGACAGAAAAAGTTAGATTTTTATGTTATTGTTCAGCCCGTAGCTTTTATTTTTCCATTTTTAAATGTTTCTTTGGCCACGTTCACAGGCAGTGCTCGTCAGCGTTCTCCCAGCGACTCCAGTGAGGCTGTTTGTGCAATAGCTGAGATTCTGCCTGAGGATTTGTTGTGGTTGCCGGTACTTCTGTGTCTCTAACAGTTACTGTAAGAAATCAAAGATAAAAATACTTTCCACATGTTCATACAATAGTAACATCCAGCATTTTAGCAAACATGGACATCCAGTTAAAATTTGGGTTTTGTTTTTTTTTTTGGTTATTTGACGTCTTTAGCATATTGAAATGTACTTTCGAAGCTAAACAGGCTCTTCAAGCTACATGAAAAAATCAAAGCGATTGCTTTGAGCAAGTAAATAAAAAATAAACAAAAATTGAATAACATAGTCAAGCAGATCTTAAATGATTTCACTGCCATAAATTTCCCTGAATAGCCTGAGATCCTGTAAAAAAAGCCATTCTTTCCTGCAGGAGAAAAAAAAGTTTTTCTGAACAAATGAGACCACACATGTTAAACACTGGTGTTATGAGACAAAGCCGCAAAAGTCATGCTCTGTTCTTTCTGAAAGTCTGGGATATTTGTGACTGAGATTTTGGGTTTGGAGTGACTTTAGAGCTAATTCTAACATTGAATTAGCTCCTTCAGTTGTACAGTATTGCCGAAAGTTAAACCTTTGAGGTGGATAAATCCCTAAATACCCTACATGTAGCAGATTTGTGGTAAATTCGTAATGATTTTGTACACGTATGTATGTGTGTGCATATGAAAATTATTTATGTATGGGAAAAATTCTGGAGCTGAACAAATTATCCTTACAGATTTGTATTCTATATAACATACTGAAACAATACCTAAAACATATGAAAATGACTTAATTCAGGTACAACAAGAAAACAATAGTGTGGCATTATGAAATAGTGCTTCTAGTGATCTCCCGACTACAAAGCTGCTCACCAAGTTTTCTGCYAAGGTTTTTGATAGCTATTATAAAAATGCAGCATATAAAATCTACATATATCTTCAGATACAATTCTTTTGTCAGGTAACAATGCCTAATGCACAAGACACTGAGCTAACAATTTGCAACAAATAAGTAATTTCTTTCTCATAGTTATAATTGGCTTCCAAACAGACTGTTTTGTTTTCTTTTATTTTGCTTTGTTTTGTTTTGTTTTGCTGTTCTTCATACAAGTGTACTCATTGAACAATAAGGTTTCTCATTGAACAATAAGGTTTGACAGCTATTTTTATGTGGACACTTTAAACCCATTCTTTGGGATATTGGTGTGCACATTTAAAGGTGTATGATTTTTCATCAAGGTTGTATGTAATCAATTCAGGATAAATTAGCATTTTCTAGTTGCTTCCACATAAAATTATTCAATTTCATAACTACATTTATCATAGCTGACAACCAAAACTTTGCTTTGGCAAGTGTTCTTATAAACAAAGCATCCTCACACATGATTTCTGAAGAATAAATAGTAAGGAATGTGAACACAATTAAAGCAATATTGAGCTGCAGTGTCACTGAAATATTTCTCCAAGTTTTGACTGTTACATCTATTGCTATATAGATGCATAGTAAGAGAACTTGCAAGTTGCCTCACAAGCAACTTACAAGCACTGTGCCTGCTTTTACTGGCGAAACTCAGATTTTCTGTCTTTTGTGATGACAGTTGCATCCATTATAGTTTGGAAGTCCCATTTCTGTACTATGTGCACATGTGAAATTTCAAATGGATTATATTATGCATATACAAACATGGACAAAAGATCAAGAAAAAAAAGAATAGAATTTTGTTTRAAAGCTTAAAGATCAAGGCTAAAATCAACAGATAGAGAAGCAGATAATCTGTGATGAAATGTTAGCACAGATAGAAAGAGAAGCCTCCTTATCACGTAGTATCTGGAGATGATCAAAATATTTTTTACAAAAAGTTTTTGAGAAGTATAACGAAGTGGGAGAATAAGATGTCTGGTCCCAGAACAAGTGGTGAACGGCACTACAGTAAAAAAGCTAGAGGTACTTTAAGTACCATGAAGGTTTGGAAAACAGTTGTTCAGTACCATTTTCTGAGATTCAGCAGAGATTACTCCATTTCTTGCTATAAAAAGAAATTATCCTATATTCTTAAGCATTCAAAGACACGTTTGAGAGCTTCAAGGAGAAGAGGGACAGCTTCTGTCTGTAGGATTTCATCTCAGGGATGAGCATGGATCCAAATCTTTCTATTGTTCAGATGAGAATATGAGACCTGATCCATACCCCACATACAGACATCTTGCCTTTGACTTACTGTGTTTGGATTCAGGCCAACAGATCCCAGTCTTGCAGAGAATAAAGGCATGGTTTGTACAACTCATTTTGAGTTTTCGGGGTTTTTTTTGTTACCAGGACAGAGTTGTACTCCTAGCTCAAGCTTGATGTTTTAAAATGAAATTTTAATGAGGGCAGTGCTCTTCATTGTTTTCACAGGAGGCAGTAAGTTGATTTGAAAACTGGACTTGTCTGTATGTTTCAATTCAGCATTCTGTGTTAGGGAGAAATACACAGCATCTGCCATAAGATTTTTCCTTGTGTTATGTAATATAATTAAAATAGATCTTTTTTACTAGTGAAGATACATCTAAAGAGACTAACCATTAGGTGAAACCCTAGTTCCCTTCATTTTCTTCCATTGATTTTGTGGGAACTAAGGTAATTCACCATGGTCTTGGTATCATGAACTGGGTCTCACTTGGCTGGGTATGTCAGGATGGTCCCAAATTGCCCTGCCAAATGTGGATGGTCTCAAACTACGGTGAAATCTCAAACTAAAGTTCAGTCTAAAATTCTTTCTTTATAGCCTATCTTGGTCACACTACTGCAGTCATGAGAAATTCATTCATCTCCCTCTGAAGTCAATGACAAAATTCATTTTGAAATTAATACTAGGATAAAGTCCATAACTTTCAAAGAGAAGTTGTATCCAATTTCTTTCTTTAAGTAAGGCCAAATCTATGGGATGTATAAGTCGGTATCTTCAGTGGAGCTACATTAACTGTCATGAAYTGAGAATCTGACCTCAGATCCTATTGCAGTTAGTGGTCTCTTTATTGGTGATGTTTGTTCAGAGGTTGGCAGGTAAATATGAATGAATTCCTCTTCTCAAATATACAGATTATTAGAAATATGGATTTATTATGTAGAACCAAACACAAAGACTAGACAAAGTGTGACTGCAAAATTCTTAGTATTGCTTAGATTTGTTTGGTTGGTTGCCTGATTATTCAGCTTTGATGGAAACAATGGAGGAGAACTGTTCATTTTTTAATCCCTTTAAGTAGCACAGGTTACTTGCACACAGCCATTTTTACTGATTACGATAACAGAAGGTGCTCTTTAATTAATAGTATGCCCATGTCTTCTATATCCCTTGAAATAATTCTGTATTTTAGAAGTGGCTTGAAAAGAACTCTCTAGTCCAAATACCAAACAAACAAACAAACAAACAAACAACAAACAAACAAAAAAAAAACCCATAAAGCTCAAAGAGTTTCAGGGATATATACAGTGAAGAAGGAATTCCTCATGCATTTTCTTGTCTCAGATGTCTCCATATTTCTAGTTTTTCATGAGGAAATGTTTTATGAAACGAAAACACTATGCACTAGCAGACTGTTTTGTTCCTTTCCTCTTTGAGAGTCTCATGAAATAAAGTATTTTCTTGCATATTTAAGTGAATTGAATTCATACCAAACRAAAGTGCCTCAAAGTTGAAAACATTGCACAGTACTAATGCTTTCCAATTTATTTATTTATTGCACTTAGGGTTTTTTTAGAAGAACCATTCAGAAAAACCTCCATCCAACCTATTCCTGTAAATATGAAGGAAAATGTGTGATAGACAAAGTAACAAGAAACCAGTGCCAGGAATGTCGCTTCAAAAAATGTATCTTTGTTGGCATGGCAACAGATTGTAAGTATACTTTACTCTTTTTTTCATTTCTCTCTCTCCTTTCTTTTTTTCATTTGTTTGTTTGCTTCAAGTATGTTGATTGGTGCAGGTTGTTTAAGTAGAACAGAACTGCTAGTTTTTTTGGCTTTAATAATTTGTACCCAAGAATTACATTCATTGCATCAAACCATTTTGATAGAGCTATAAAGTCTTGTTTACCAAACTGGACCTTCACCTAGCTCTATCAGCCTGTGCAACACAAGGAGGAGGAGAGGAGGGGAAAATGCATCTGGATGGACACTTCGCTTGCAAAAAAACATCTTGTTTAGAAAATTCTGGAGGATGTGAAATTGAATGTCGTTGTATGAGTCATCCTGCAGTTGTTTGTTTTATTTTTAGCCATGAAGAAGTTATCTGCTGGAAAGAACTCTACTTGTAGTCTAAAGAACAAGAACATATGGCTGTGAGATTAACCCTTAGGGGTCTTCTTTTCCTGCCATTGCACAGGGATTTACACTAATAACTTCAATTAGTGTAAATGGGAGAAACTCATGCAAATCCCCCTGTGCATTAATGTTAGTGGTTGTTACCACTGTAATCCTCAGCACAAAACTGAAAGGGAGACAGACTAAATGAGGAAAAGCAACATAAAAATATTCCAGTTTAATATTTTAATTAGTAATTGAAGGTGTTTTCTGTATACAGGGAAACAAGAAACCATACAACTTCATTTTAGCCTGGCAGTACTTCAGGAGAGGGAATTGGGTAACTCAAGATCCTTAGTTCAACTCTTGCCCCACTGGACAAATCTGGCAATGATTAGCCTCAGCTTTTTAGCGCCTCTGTAGAGTAAGAAGTTGGTTGGAATCTGATTCTAACCAATGCACATCAATGCTAGAAAACTTTGTCTGTGGATAGCATGTATTAATGTGCCAAGGGAGCTGGCACTGCATTTTTCTCTGTTCTCTCYCATCTTTTCTCTATTGGTTTTATTTCCTGTGAATAAATATCTAAAGACAATGATAGTATACATTATGTAAGGAGAAAGGTAAGTCATTGTTTGCAATCAAGGCTTTGAAGAGATTGAAGCTTGAAGAGAAAGAGAAGCACTTCTATATACCAATTAGCTAAGGTGTTTGCAATCAATTAGTGCACCAGGCATAGAAAAATACAAATTCAGACAAGCCTAAGAGCTTCCTGSCATTTCTATTTGCTTTTGTCCTTGCTAGTGGTGTTGGATGACAGCAAGAGGTTGGCAAAGAGGAAGCTGATAGAAGAAAATCGTGAGAAGAGGCGCCGGGAAGAGCTGCAGAAGACAATCGGGCACAAACCAGAGCCAACAGACGAGGAATGGGAGCTGATCAAAATTGTTACTGAAGCACATGTGGCCACCAATGCACAAGGAAGCCACTGGAAGCAGAAAAGGAAATTTCTGGTAGGCATGGTAGCCTTGTGCGCTGCTCTCACTGTCATGTTCTTTTATTTCCTTCAGAATCCYGTCCTAAAATGGTAATCCCAAGCAYGGTTTATCTGCTGGRGTGTCCAGGTATATGAGAAATGGAGGATTTCCARTGTTACTGTTTACTTGTTCTTACCTGAATGTCAATATCTGATCAAAGCATGTATTTCAAAAGATCAACTGCATGACTTAAGTCTTAACCGGATGGATGCTTTTTAGTGTGCTATGAGAAGAAAAATCAGGAAAATGTTTTCCCTGATGACTAGTAAGTGTATTGGTCTGTAATACATACTCTGTCTTTTTGTGTGCATATATATTTAGGCGTAATTGTTTTTGTTAGGAACTAATGTAAAGTMTATTGTACATACTATAAAACAACAGCAAGTTTTAAAGGGAAGTTGATTTGACAAAGACGCATTAATTTCAGTGAAAGTAAGAAGATACTTATACCGTGGACTTGGGATAGCATGGTGTAAGACTGAGGGTTTTTTGCWTGTAACTAAAGATCAGAAGAAAAAAACATGGTAGTGTGCGATGCTCAGCCTTAGGAAAGGATTTATTTGACTTTTCTGAATTGATTTTTAAAGGAAATAATTGCAGAATGCACAATGCCTATACAGCACAAAAGAGGGATGGGAAACTGCATGACAGGAATACAAGGGGGTCTTTAGTAGGCTGTGTATATCAAAACACATAGAGAGAGAAATTTTTTTGCAAGCTTATATTCCTGCTGCTTAACTCAGTGGGAATCTTCATCTACTATTAAATTGCTAGGGAAAATTTTCTGTTCAAACAAGCTGATTCCTTTTATGGTACTTTGTTAATTCCAGTGGCAGTGCTCATATTCTTGTATGTGTAGTAACATGTGTTTATTAACATGCAGGATGGAAAACACAGCAAGTGGTTGCCAGCAAGAAGAAACAGAACTTTTTCCAGTTTTACTGCATAGCAAAGTTTCTTTCATTGTTTTTAACAGACCGAAAGCCTGAAACTTGTTCTTTAACGTCAGCTGCAATAATGTCTTTGCTTGGACAGAAGTATTATTCCTTCAGTATCAATTGATCTAGGATAAAAATTGGGGAGCTCAAAAGAAGGGTTGGGCTACTCCTACTTCYCCTATGGGGGAAAGACCCCCATAGCTTGGTGGGCCAGTGACATGGAGGTCTGGCCTTGTGGACACAATGCTGCTGTGGGCACAACAGGGGAAGGGCAGGATGGCCTGAAAACATCGATAAGGAGCTCTTGGAAGCCCACCACCAGAGGCTGTGGAAGAGCCAGAGGAGGGACAGGAAGCCCTATGAGCTGCCATCAGTCATTAGGCAGCTCCTGGTTCTTCAAGAGCTTTTTTGAGGTCCTGACCTCTTCCCCTGTTCACCATCTACAGTGGTGAGGTCTTTCCAGCTGTGTACCCATCAGGAGCATGTTGGTTTCAACTGTCATCTTGTCATCTTTGGGCTTTCCCAAGGAAATGCTGTGCTCTCTTTTCCTCCCTAACAACGTTCTGCATGGTTGTAAGAGTTTGGTTGTCTTGCTTGGAAGTGAAGGAGATTGTTCATCATAAACATATAGACAATGTGGTATCATTTCCCGAGATTCAATGAAGGAGGAACCTAGAACTGGGATTGCTTGAGCTTTTTAGTWGGAACCCGTAGATAATTGAGCCCAGTCCTCTACATTGTTCTTTTACAACTGGTGCTTGTTTTATTAGTGAGTCGCTGTTTTTTCCTGGAAGAAGTTAGATTTGGATTCAGATTGATGACAGAGCTGTGGAAGGGTCTTTTATGAAGTGTTGCTTTAAAAAAACTATTGAGAATATGTTTTTATTGTAGAGAGCAGTTTCAGCAACTCCCTGCTTAAGTGCCCTTATGTAAATGTCATGAGATCCATCAGTCTTAAAGGCATTCTTCTCTGAGCCTCTGCAGTTTTTACCTTCTAAAGTGAATAAAATGGAACCTCTACATGGTGTTTGTCATGCCTTTTATAACTGCAGAGCTGTACTTAGAGAAGAACAGCTTTGGTACRTGGTTTTTAAATAACACTGACAAACTGTCATAAAATTGGATGAACAAATCAAAGTATGTTTGGGATAAACAACACCCATTTGGAAGAACTCTGTTCAAAACTTTCAATATGTTTTCCTATTGAAATCCTCAAAATAGGAATTTTGTGTTGGAGAAGGCTTGAGCTGAAGTCATGCAGAAGGTGATTTTCGACCTGAATTTTGTCCAGATGAGTCCAAATTATGTTCGATTTATCCAGACTAACTTCAATTTAGGCCTTTCTTAGTCATTGGTTTCTTTAGCCTGATTCTCAAAATRAGCCTTGGCACTTGCTGGGAGCTCTGCAATATTGGGCAATCTCTGCTCTGGGAGAGATTTCAGAACTTCAAGTAGGTGGCAGAGCCCAATCCTGCAAAGCTCTAAGCATCTCCCAGAGGGTGATGAGACACCTCAACCGCCTTGGGTTGTATGGAAACTTGAGACTTCTCAGCACACGTGATAAACTAGATTATCCTTATATTTAGCACATGTGATAAACTAGATTATCCTTATATTAAAAAAAAAAATGCACAAGTTACAAGGTATTGTGATACAGGCACAAGCAAGAAACTGTATGTGCACAGAAATGCTGTGTAGCCCACACAGCATGGGTAGTGGCATGCCAGGCACCCATTTCTCTGTGCAGTCATCTCCTTCAAMAGTGCTATATAAACAGATTCACATTTTCTGACATAATGAGCTTTACTTCAAAAGTGGATAGTATTATTTCTTAATTTAATAAAAATTGTGAATGTTAATAGCATATCTTCCCTTGCCAGGAAGGACTTTCTGGATCAAATACTTGATCTAAGATAGATCACTCCTTTATATATCTTTCTTTATATCCTTAGCCAGAAGACATTGGACAAGCACCAATAGTCAATGCCCCAGAAGGTGGGAAAGTGGATTTAGAAGCCTTCAGCCAGTTTACAAAAATTATCACACCAGCGATTACAAGAGTGGTGGATTTTGCCAAAAAGTTGCCTATGTTTTGTGAGGTAAGAAAACTTGCATCCTTCTTTTGCTTATTGGATGYTAAACTCTACTCAAAATACTGCTGGCACTGAACTGTAACAGTCATGACTTTACTAAAAAAACCCAGTATTTTTAAAAGCGGAAAAYTGGAAAATTAAAACAGATGAGAGTGGAATCATCTGACTTGTATTTAGTTTTATTTTTGATGTAATTTCTGAATTCCTAATTTTGTTGATCTGTTAAGTCTTCATGATTCATTAGGGACTTTAATGTGCCCTTAGAGGGGCCTTGAACAAAGCTAATGAGCAAAAAGAGTTTGTTCAAAASTATTTTTGATACATTTCATTAGATTTTCCGGCACATAGAGATCCCATAGTCATTCCTGGCTGTTTGGTGGTTCTAGTTTTGTGGAGCTGGATCTATGTAATAACAAATATTTCAAATGCAGGAAAGCAACCCTATCCAGGAATATCACTTACCTCACTGTATTCCCTAGGTRTGTTTTCTATGAACACCAAGGGCGTGCACTAAGGAGTCTATAAAGTATCTACCATTCCATGCAGATACTTGCACGTGAAACAWGCATTCCATAGTCACTTTACTTGGTTACACATTAGGAATACTCGGGCCCTCAGTTAATCTCTTTACAAATGTGGTTCATTGGAGGTCCRGACACTATAGATAGTCCTAATATTTGTCCTAACTTAACTGTATCCTAACTGCAGCCTGAACGTAACTGAAAACAACTTTGTCTTGTGAGTCCCTCAGAATCCRCAAGCATGGAAGTTTTAATATGGAAATAGCCCCACTGCAGCCATGGAAGGATGGCCTCCCTGTGTTTCTRCACTGCAGAGCAACACTTGATTCTGCCTAAGATTAATGCCAAAGGAATTACACTGAAAATGGGTACAATTCTGCTAGGAAGTTCATCAGACTCCCTGAACAGTTTTTTCCCCCTGATAACTAAACACCAGTCAGAAAAGAAGTTTAATGCAGCCACAGCATAGCCACAAAAGAGTGGCACATGCCCAAAACAAAATAATCCTAGAGTAATGGGAGAATCTGGAAGAAAAGAATTCTCATTCTCATTCTCTTCTCAGTATTTCTGCTGTTCTCTTATTGAATTTACTTCTGCTTAAAAAAAATAAAGAYCGCCTGAGCAGCATTTAATCAGTTCTGTGTGGGTTTACATGTCACAGGTATCAGTGCTCCAAGGCTGGGAGCTTGTAAATAACTTGATAGATAGCTCATCTGAGCATCTGTGATGCTGAGCTCACACATATGGGGGTTCCAAGTACACCCTGCCGAAGGGAACACCTCAGATGTGAAAAGCAAAAAAWTCTTCTTGCCTTTGCTCCCTGCAGAGAGAGGAGGACAGACCTACATGCAGCAGATGTTGATCACATTTGTCTGCCCCATTCCTGGAAGGGGCCTGATTGCACTAGTCAGTCTCCATAGTCTGGAGCAGAACTGATGGTCAGACTCCCACTCTTGGTCAATGATGCTGTCGGTAGATGAAAGCTGAAACATGGTGCCCATGGAGCTGGTATCCAGTGTATCCTTCAGAATTAGGGAAGCAGGTGAAGAATGGGTATAATCCATCACTAGTGATCACTAGATCACTAGTACCATAAAATACCATAAAGAAGTTCTAAKAAAGGTTTGAGGAGGAAGAAAAATTCTTTTTGATTTAATGATGTAGTGAATAAAGCAGCTGTACTGTCATATAATACTTTACTCTTATTTTTCTATCACCCCATTCTTTCTGCATAGGCTTTCTTCATTTCTCTTTTTTCTCCCCTTCTCCCTTTCTTTTACTTGTGTTCCTGTTTTCTGTGCAGTTACTCTTTTTTGATATCTCTTCATCATTGCACTCACTTTTTTGTTTTGTTKTGTTTTGTTTCTATCTCTGTTTCCTTCCCTACTTCAATCTCAGCAGCCAAGCAGTGGTGTTGTCATTGGGCAGCTAAACTGCCACCATGCTCATGCAGCCCTCCACAGGCTACTGCTGTGGAGGAAAGGTCAGGGAAAATGATTTGCCCTGAATAGGATGAGTCATTTTTTTATGTATCAAACACTTCACACCTGAAGTTGACATCGCTGGAAAAATAGCTGCATGATTCAATCCCTTTCTGACTGTGGCTGTCTTTGGGCWTGAAAGTTTAACAGGCAACTGCTTTTCACAGTGTTAGGTAACYGTCCAGCATCTGTTCTGCATGGTTTTATACCAGATAAATATAACTGCTTTGTGAGTACTCAATTGCCACATAAACCTATAGATAATTTTTTGTTTCATCCTGAATTGCAAAGCAAGTAATAATTTCATATGAACCAGAAGTGGATGTATATTTGCCTCCTTTCAATCTAAGTAAAATTGATTTGCTTTTTCCTAAACATGATCCTTTGCTATTCATCTAGTGAAAGCCTCAAAATAGTCTTTGTGGTATTTGCTATCATTTAATTACCCRCAAAATCATAAAGACAAACTATAATGAGCACAGTCTCCAACTGTCTCAGCATCCTGGCAGTACCTTATTAAAGAACCTACCTTCATYAGTTCAAACAGCTACTGTTTTTGTGTTAAGGAAAACAGAAGTCTTGTCTCATGCCCTGAAGACTGTGACTTGTGCACCAGCATAAAAACTTGAACTCTGCAACAAAAAATATTTTTTATTCTCTGCAGAATTTTCTGTCTGTCTAGTGATAACAGGTAGAGGAGCCACACAAGGCGAAAATAGTTTAGTAAGTTGACTGTTTTCAGAAATGGACTGTGAGAATTAAGACTGCATGCCCCACTGACTGAGGTATTGGTTCTAGATAGAGAGTTTTCTTTCATTTCTTTTATTTAAAAAGCCTTGCACTCTTACAGACCCTCTGAAGCATCATCTTTCTTTTTCTCTGGTCAGATATGAAATAAGCATGGCTGCAATGAGTTTGGCTAGGATGACTACTGCCTACACCAGCCCCAATGATAGTTTAGTCTGTTCTGCAAAGCTGTAAGCTGAGAGAGCTCACGAGTGGCGGAGAGGAGGGTAAATACCTGAAAGCAGCGACTACTCCAGCTGTCTCAGATCTACCCCTAACACAAACCCACCAAACTGGYGGGTTTCTGCACCAGCCAGCACCAACCTGGCAACTTTCTGATTATCCTTCACATTCTGTGAAATGTTCTGCAAAAAATAGACTTAATTTTATAAAGCTCCCAGAAGCAAAGGGTTCCCACTCTGCAAGCTGTGTCTGAACCAGCTTGGGCAGCACTGAGTGCCTTGACCAGGTCCCGTCCCCCACAACTGCATGATGGTGAGACTTCCAAAGGGTATGTGGGGGCATTAATTCCTCAGAATTTCTTAAAGTAGGAATGCGAGTCTTGGAAGTTTTGTGACACACACTGGAACTAACCAGGCAGCAGGATGTTTGGGGTGTGACTGTACCATGTGATGGAGTGTCCTGGAGTGTTGACTTCAACTTCGTCGTTATGGATTTATTATAGTTAAAACCCAATTGTGTTAGAAAAACACATCTTTTTATTTGTCATTTACAATTTCTGCAGCTGCCATGTGAAGACCAGATCATCCTTCTGAAAGGCTGCTGTATGGAGATCATGTCACTCCGCGCAGCAGTTCGCTATGACCCTGAGAGTGAGACTTTAACACTGAATGGGGAGATGGCGGTGACAAGGGGCCAAYTAAAAAATGGAGGTCTTGGAGTGGTATCTGATGCCATTTTTGACCTGGGCATGTCTCTCTCATCATTTAACCTGGATGACACCGAGGTTGCTCTTCTTCAGGCTGTTCTGCTCATGTCATCAGGTGAGGACAAATGTATTTTGGGACCCCACCATTTTGAAATTTATTATTAGTCTTTGTTACAAACCTCTTCTTAAAACATGTAGGGTATATTAGAACTTGTTGCCCTTAAAAGAATAATGTGGGTGAAACTGTCTCTCAACATCTTGATACAGTTTAAAATTAGTTTGGTGAACACTGGAAAATACTTCAGAGAGATGGACATAAAAGTGGCTTTGTTCACACACCTTGTTCAGACTGTGTCATGACTTAGGGAGGGGGCAGGGATGATCATCAGATGTCAAATGATGAGTGAAAGAGCTGGTTCTGAACCAATTTGCCTTGCCTTTTCAATTAGAATTGATGACTAAACAGTGATGTCCTATGGTAAGTTCTCTTTTCCCCTGTCATGTGCTGGCTGGGAGGTGCAGATCATACAATCTCACGTGCTTAGTTCAATATACCTCCTTATTTACCTACTTAACAGCACCACTGCATGCTAACAGTTTTTTTATGGGCACACTGGGGCCGTTAGCCGCAGGTCTCTTGGTGAAGTGATAAAGGAGCAACATAGTCCATTTCATTTAATTCCCAAAGAGTTTTCTTTCCTCACCTTCTCATATCCAATATGTTTTCAAATATGCTTCTACTGACTATGCCAGCCCAAAGAGGAAATTTCATTCTTGGGCAGTGGCAGATTTGGCAAGGTTCTGTTTTAAGACCACTTTAAAGATTGGGCACTGAATAATACATAGAGCAGTGATTTACAGGCATTAGCTACAGCCAAGCCAGTAAGGTTTCCACATTCATCACAATGCTGCACTTAACTTCCCAGTGAAAACATTCTGATTTTTTTCTGGTTCCCTACACAGTGATAAATAAGCAGTGGTTTCAGAAAGCATTCTAGAGGACCTGTTTTTCTCTAAGTGTCTCCTGAAGACTAACTTGAAAACTTTTTCAGCTCTCTACTGGGTGCTGGGTCAGACAAACCACCAAACTTTCAGGATGTGAGGTGCCATGCTGAGCCAGAGCAGTTTCCTTGGTGGCTGCCCTGTGGCTCAAAGCTTGGYGCCTGCTCACACTGCAGCTGAACAGATAGGAAAGAATTGTAATTTAGATTTCTGGCAAGGAAATACAAATGAACTAGTTGTTTTACAGAGTGATAYAGCTAGAGGCCTCAGCTGAGATCAAGGATCTGCTGTTGCTCTTGTCAGTGTAAGGAAAAGCTCCCCAGACAGCTATGCTATAAGCAGGCAAAGCAGACAAAGAATGAAGAAAGGATTAGCATCCTTTTTTCTTAACAAGCATAATACAGAGGCACAGATAAGGGAAATGTCCAAGGTCAAAATTTGTCTGTGGCACAGCCAGATGTCCCAAGTCTCTGTTCTTTTTTCTCTTAACAATAGGATCATCCTCTTTCTCCTGACTTTTTGACCAGACATTCATTAAAATAAATGAGTAATAACAGCAGTTCTGTTCCTTTGTATCTACAGATCGACCGGGTCTCGTCTGCGTTGAAAGGATAGAAAAGTGCCAAGAGGGTTTCCTCCTGGCATTCGAACACTACATTAACTACAGAAAACACCATGTTGCACACTTTTGGCCAAAACTGCTGATGAAAGTGACAGACCTGCGGATGATCGGAGCCTGCCACGCCAGCCGCTTCCTGCACATGAAGGTGGAATGTCCCACCGAACTCTTTCCTCCGCTCTTCCTGGAGGTGTTCGAGGATTAGAGACTGGAGCGCTCCTGCCTCCCCACAGCACTACTGGCTGCCATTTCATTCCATCGCCGGGCTCTTCTGACATTTTGTTTGTTCTTCTTACCTTGTTCTGCTCTGCTTCTTGAGGCGGGGTTGGGTTTTCGTTGGGGGTTGCTGGGGAGCTGTTGTGTGCAYATGACACGTGGATGAAAACATCCCTTTAATGCGGGTACTTGTGACTATGGCAGTTTATTCCTCGGTCCTTTGATGTGAATGCRTTGACAGCTTAGCAGTGAAGATGCAAACAGACCGGTCTCATTCACCAGCATTTATGTAGTCACCAGCTCACACACATCATTGCTTGGAGAATTTGGGAGGTAAATTGAAGTGGCAGTAAATAAATTGGGCTCCAAATTAAAGCAGCTTTTGGTAATTTAACGGCCAGCAATTCTGTCTAGTATTTCACAGGCATAAGAGATGATTTCATGAGATGAAATTTCTAGTCTTCATGGTTGTTTCTGCTGTAACAGCAGGCCATTTTCATCTAGGATCTTTGATCTAAAATCCTAGGCCATTTTGATCTAGGATCTTCGTCGTCATCACGATCCCTTCATTATCTGAGGATTTTCTAGCAACTGTGGTTTAACTGTACCCCATAAATCATATATTTAAAGAATGCAGAGTGGTAGAAGGGAGTCATTTTCTTTCCATGTGTATAAAAATTGGAAAAGCACTATCCTTTCCTATCCATCTGAACTCCAGGTAACTTCACTGGAAGGTCTTTCAGAGTAAAGAGGGAAGTTTTATCCTCTGAGGTGCTTTTCCTGAGAGTGGAGAAGTCTGCTTTTTCCAGAGTGTGTGGAGCATTGTGAGGGAGCAGAGTCTGACAAGCTGGTGGAATTTCCTCAAAGTTATTCAGGGATGTAGACGTTCATAAAATGATGATAATAAGAATGAAACACTGTAATGACCTCCAGATGGGACAGAAACCAACTGTGTTATTAGCAATGCTCAAGACTCTACAGCTTTATCCCAGTAATACAAATAGTGTTCCTTGGCAGTAATCTTTTGGGTTTTTATATATATATATAAAGTTTATATGCACATATATATATAATTTTATATATATATAATTACAAATCTTCAGCAGATGTCTTAATTTCCGTATTTTTATCTCTCTGCCTCCTCTCAGTTCTCTGTCTTCTCTCACACTCTCCTCTGTGTGCGTGCATGCATGTGTGTTGCTCAGATGGGTTCTCTGCCTCCATGCAGTGTGTATGTGTTATATTTGGCTAGATTCTCTCTCACTTCTTTTAAATAATTTATTTCCATTAACTGCACTAGCAGGAACTGAACTGAGCAATGACAGGATGTCCTGCTGCCGAAATCTGCGCACCAGTGCTCCCAATACTGGAATGTTTGGGCCTGTAATGAGGGCATTATAGGTAGAGATTCTTCTCCATCATCCATCTCCATTCAGGGGTGTCCTTCCCTGGCATGTGTAAACTTGATATTAAACCTTTCTCTGCGTTTCTGTAATACATCAAAAGCATCTTTCTGTTCTTCCTGGGAACTCAAGGACTTATTCCACATGTTCTTCACTTCCTCATATCCCACATTCTGGTGTGTTGTACATTCTTTTTTATCCGTGTCTTTGCTATTTATTGATATACTGCCCAGCAAGTCAACGGGCATGGTTAGAGTGGATGTTTTCACATTCAGAGCTCATGGCCCACATTTAAACCCTGTTTTGCATTTATCTCCTCATGAAAATATGATACTCAGGAACTTATCTCCTAGATGGGGCACAGTGTGTGGTTGGGGGAGGTTAAATTCTTTCCACCTCTATTTCACTATGTCAGTGACTAAAACCTTTAGAGGGTTATAGGCTGTTTTCAGGGACGTGGAACTTCATTCTGCCTGTTCTTTGAAATCATATGCACCTGTAATAAGTTGTAAGCATCGATGTTACTGCATAGGGGTTTGTGCCCATAATTTTGTAAGAACATAAAGCACAGTGGAGTGTGTAGGGTTTTTGTTTTGGGGGTCTTTTTTTTTTTTTTTTTTTTTTTTTCAGATAGCAAGGAAGCCAGGCCATTGGAAATTTGCCCTTAAGAGTTTGGTGAAGTTGAAGAACTGTTGTTGGCTGTGTTTGCTCCAGCTCAAAGTGTATGGTTTAGTGACTTGTCTCTAGCCACATCCCTTTTACAGCAATGTGTCTTGTGGACAAGGAGTTGAAATTTTTTCAGCCTTTTGGAACAAGAGGCCAATGTGGTGAACTCGCATGCACTCAGGTCTGCAGAATCTGACTCAGAGGAGCAGCACCAATAGTTAGTGAAGCGTTTTAGCTATCTGATTTGGAAATGGTTTGAGAAGGCACTGGCAGCATATATGGAAGGTAAAACCATTGTAGAAAACTTAATCAAGTTGGTGAGAATGTCATATCTTTTTTGAATGTTAGCTAATTTAAACAGCTGGTGCATTACTCGTGTCTATAACAAAAGTGGCTGTCAAAAAGAAGTGCAGGTCTTCTGGAATTTTGTTTTGCCATGGATCTGAGGATCCTATTGATGCCAGTGTGAGCGTCTCACCTGATTACTCCTAAATGTGAGCTTGGATTGGTGCACGGTCTTTTGACTGTGCTGCAGAGACTGAGGAGAAAAAGCGTCATTTTTCTTCTGGRTGTGTTCACAATGACCTCACTACAAGGTCCATGATGCTTTGTCAGTTTTTCACAGCTTCAGTCCCTGGAGTCATGCTGCTACTTGAGAGGTTCATCTCTCATTAAGATCAGCAATTCTCATCCACTGGGTTATAAAGAAAATAGCCTAAACATTAAAAAATAAGAACAGTGACTTCGCCTCACTTCTGGTTCTTGAATGCCTAGGATTGACAGGATTACATTAATCAAAAATATAAAGAATAATAAGAGGTGAAAAAAAAGGTTTGAAAGRGCGACCAGACTGACTTGTGGAAGCTACAAGAGATGAAAACTCAAAACAGCCAGGACTGAACTGCAGCTTGAGACAGTGCTGAGAATTACATCACACACTGGCTACTGCAAAAACTGTTGGTGGTACTGGAAGCTGTTCTCGTTCTCCCCAGGATCTACCAAGACAAGATACAAAGTTTTAAAACACAGCCTGCATAAATGGATGTCCGAATTCAAGCACCTGAGATCATTTAGGCATCCAAACTAATAGCCTGACTTCCCAAAATGCTGATGCAGTTTGGAGTTTTATGGACTCAGGGTTCAGAAAACGGAGTCTCCTTCCTCAGAGGACTGCAGATGGGCTGAAGTGCCTAGGGTTTGGCAACCTGCTTTCAAAGAGTCATCAGTCCTTTAAGAATAAAGTATGTATAGCAGCATATTTTCCTAATGTTTTAGGTTAAGTTGGAATCTGGCACTGATTAAAAGAGAGGAATTGGTATTCCTCAGTTGAAAACTAAGATCAGGCTTTTGCTTTGACAGATTTGATCTACTGACATCTAATGGCCTGACTTTGATCTCCTACCAGTCTTATTTTGTGTCACTTCATTGACTTCCTTAGTATGGTTCCTGATTTGCATGGTCACTAAAACAAAACTAGAACATGAGGATGCTCCTGCAGACTCTTAGCAGCGGATACTGACCTTAGTCTTGCGCAGACTTATGGATATGCTGGCGTTTATGCACCAGTGGTCTTAAGCCATTGTAGGATTGAGCCACTGGACCTACCAGTCTGAGTAGCAGACACCAGTACTGCAGTCAGCAGGGTTTGTAGGAACTGGCCTTTTGACTGATTCTGATGGTGCCACATAACTCTCATTTTTGCTTTGTGGTCTCTATGTGGGTTTTATATAGAAGTTTCTTCCTATCAAACCTGATTGTCATCATTCATGTTTTTGCCCTGAATAACATGTGCATTTAGATATTCATTTCATGTGTAATTTCAGTTATGATATTTATAATGACATATATAGTGTGTGATACTGATTTTCGTTTACATTCTGCCAAAATGTAGACGTTAGAGTTAGACCTCCAAGGTCCAAAATCATCCATGAGCAAAGTGCTTGTTTCTTCAGTGACAGGCATGAGAAACAGGAAAAGCTGTCCAAAAAGATATATTTGTATCAGAAATACACCAAGACAARGCTGTAGATCACAAGCAGAGCATGTCATTGCTAGTGATGTATTTTTATGCTATGGAACTCTAACCTGTATGTGTCATACTGACTTTTTGCTGCATGAATCATAAATTATAAAAATCAGTCTTACRGTTTTGAGATGTAGCCAGCATTCCTAAGGCTAAACCTTTTTCATTGATGGAATCAAAATCCACAACCAAGGAACATGCTCCTCTCACTGTGAGAGCAATTGAAGAGTTCAACATTTATCTTTTCACAAAGACAGAGGGAACAGGACCTCTTAATGTGTCTTGTTATTGTGATCATCTGGAAATGGTTGCCAGGCATTTCCTTTTGATATAGCAGTGAAGTGATCCGTATTTAAATTTTATAGAGAGAAATTTTATTCTAGTGTGATAGAGATTTATTTTCCACTTAAAGATTCAGAACAGTGTGAGCACATTTTTTTACTATGGTATATTTTTGCTTTAAAATTAAAAACAAACAAAAAAAAAGGTTTGGCCTTATCACAAAGTTTTAGTGTGTCGTATAGATGTTAGCAAATGCAAAAAGTATGCATTATTTGTGTGTATTCACATTGACTGATGTCGCCTTCAAAAAGCAATATTGTGCAGGTAATAAGTTGTTTGTGACTGTCGATTGCACAGTTTACCTTCTTTAAAAGCTAACCTTGTTTATGCACAAGACAATCAAATGTAAGTCTACATCAGCACCCAGGTGTAGATTAAATTTATGTAAATTACTGAGCACAATGTAAAACATTAAAAAGACACTTTATTTAATTATACATTTAACGTTGGTTAAAGATAGTATCAGGGCATGAACTAGCTGACATACTGTAATTTCTTTTTCTCATTTCTTATTTCCTTAGCGCACTTCAGTTTTAATTTGCTCATAAATACATCAAATTAGTCATTCATAATTTTTTTTTAAGAGGAGGGTGGCTTGGGTTTTGTTTATTTGTTTTTATGAAATTTGTTTGAGAGGACTTCTTTCTTTGTCTGTGAGGTTTGTGGGTTTTGCTTATTTGGTTTATTTTTTTTTATATCAGTTTCATGCCCTGAGGTAAGGCAAACATTACGCCGTACAGTTAAAAAAAAAAAAAAAAAAAAGTACCTTGGATGATGTATTTTTTTGCAAACAGTGTTAAGTGATATGCTAGATTGGTAATATTTTTTCAGTCTAAAATATATTAAAAAAAATCTGTGATCACAAATGTTTTAAACTATCTGAAGAGAAAATTTGTATATTTGGGGGAAGAAAATAATTTTTACATAGCTTTTGTATGCAGATATTAAAATGTAATTATGAATATAGTGGGCATAGATAACTGTGTAAGCTTGAATTCTAAAAAAAAAAAAGAAAAAGCTTATAACTGAAACATAGTTCTGGTCTCTCTGTTCCAGATGGTGCAGTCAGTTCGATCGCACACTTTGAGGATGCTGGAAAGGGAAAAACAGGACCCAAAGCAGAATAGTAACACAACATTTCTGTCCTTCTGTGACCATCTCCTCACATCTCTTAAATCTTACCTTCTTTCCCTCTGCCATCCACTCCCCAGGGCTCCCAGCCAAAGGATTTCACTTCTTGCTGCTCACATGAGCCAAGCTTAATTCATTTCAGTGAACTGACTCATGATTTATGTCTCATGCAATTACATATTTAAGGAAACACCCTTTTTCCCTTCTTCTTTCCTAGTCTAGACTGAGCTGGTGTTCCCAAGACATAGAGCTCTTCTCTTGTCCCACTTTCCCTGTCTGTTATCTGTTGGAGAAGGTAACAGACTATCCTTACATTACTATGAGATTTGGGATTTCTCCAGGTCTCCAGTGCCCCTTAGGAAGAACAACAAGACCTGGAATTTTGTATTTATAAAGAG